GTCACTTTTGTCTTTATCACAATACTACCACAAAATATCGTAATAAAACTTTAAATCCATATTGTCCACCTGCACTGCGATGCATTATTTTACAAGTTAAAAAGTGAAGAAGTGAGTTAAAAAATAGCAAAATAATTACTCCGCAGCGTTCCCTGCAGAAATCAGTAGATTGATGCACAAAAACACGGTAACAAGTTATACTGGACGACAAATTGTCCCAGAAGTTATAGCGATATAAACGATAATATTGTTATTGTGACTCAATTTTAAAGGCATAATAAAAACTTGACATTTTTGTGAACATCTAAGTCTGGAACTGGAAGACATTTTAAATACACAAAATAAAAAAATAAAAAAAATAAAAAAATAAGGAAAATTGTTTTTCCAAAAAGGTTAGACCAAAACTGAAGACTTTTATCAACCAGTTTTTGGTAGAAAGAGAGAAAAATTATAAATCATTATTGTTTATTGTGGCAGGCCTTGCAACAGTATCCACACTGAATACCTTTTTTTATCAGGAATTTTTGATTGTGGAACGGTGAGACGTAATCGCTCTGTCTCCCAGCATGCCGGGGATCGACACCGCCACGCTCTTTGAGTCACGAGTTAAAGGCCCAGCATATCAGCCCCAGGAAAACGCCTGTCTGCATGCCGACGTGTCGGCGTGTTCCAGCTGTGGCATTCAGCTCGTTTCTACTTTAAGAAAATATCTTGTTTTCCGCCGTCCTGCAGTCTGTTCCATCCCCGGACTCCCACCTTCGTTTCTTCCCGTCTTATCTCTGTCGACGCCTCTTTGATCATAACAGTCTGTGAGCTGCCCACAGATTGTGAATAAGCAGCAAAACCAGAGACTGCGCTGAAATTCAGACATAAAAAAAAGAAAATTAATGCAACACAGCAGCTTGATTCAAGCGGTAATTCCACTAACACCTGCAGTGGCAGTAAAAGTAGCAGTTACACCTATTAGGCAAATACATTCAAACACACTTCAGCTCCAGACTCGCATCTGAAAGTACTTCCACTGCTGCTTGTGCTTTGGACGTTTTCACATAAGTGGCTATTAGCATGACTGCAAGATTTGTACTTTCTCAGCATCTAGGGCAGAGCTCTGGAGTATGTGAATAAAAGTGATTTTACCTCATGTTAACTTTCTAACTGGAGGTGTTTTCTTTCATTTCTGTTTCTGCTCCTTCTGATCTGAACTAATGTTGCAACTTGTAACCGATTATTTGATTAATCGGATAAAACAATTTTCGCATTATACATATTTTTGAATCTTTTCTACACAATATTAGAAATGTTTTAAAAGAGGAAAATAAACAAATTCAATCACTTTTTGGATATTAAAATGTTACAGCCTAAAATGCAATAGCATAGCCTTCCAAACCTTTTGTTGCAAAATTAATACAGCATTTAGAGCAGAGCTCCATAACATGAATAAAAGTGAATTTAACTGAGGTTAATTTCTTCTTTTTTTCAGCTTTATGTGTTTCTTTTTCCTTTCTGTTTGGTGTTTTTGCTTTAAATATCCAAAATGAACAAAAAATTTAAAACTCAGAACTTCTGAGTATCTAATTCTAACTGATTATTCTGATGATTAACCGATTAATCGGATAAAACAATTCTCACATTGTACATATTTTTTATTAAACAACTTGAGTCTTTTCTACACAATACTTTTTCAAATTATTATTGGACTTGAGTGTCAAAATCTTTGCTGTATTTATCCAAGTTTAATAAATAAAACAAAAGCTGATTTGGGTGCAGCAGAGTCTATTTTTCAGAAAAGGTCTCTGGAAATACGTAGTTCTAATTATAATAAAAATCTTGTTTTGTACTTAACATTTATTTTCCACTGAAACAAATTTGCATCATTCTTGAACTGCAGCTGGTGGCCACAAAAAAACAGTCCAAGGGCCACAAATGGCCCGCGGCCCACACTTTGGGCATCGCTCTTGTGGTATACTTTTGTTCATTTGTAGCAAAAGATGCAGCTAAAAATATACTACTGATTATTTTTTGGATTAATAAATGGATAACAACAGGTGTTTAAGTATTTCTACTTTTTTGTTTCTTTTTGTTTTTTACTCCCAGTTGCAGGAAAAAGACTGAAATGATCATTTGCGTTAAAATTTGTGCGTTATTTCAACTTGTCAGAGTAAGAAACAGGACAGGGTGAAGCTAAAAACATAAATTATGGCTCAGTGGGCTTTAGTGAGCCAGTGATCCGTGACGGTGAATCTGCACTTGCAGCAGCATCACAACTTCCACCCAGCTCAGCAACATTTTTTTAAAACTCAGCCATGAAAATGGATGCTGTGAAGATACCAGAGGCTCAGCTTTTACAATGTTTAAAAACGGCTCGAGCAAAACTCACACCATTTCCAGAATAAACACAACAACTGAGGTAGGCAGGATTGAAATGCATTTGTCTTCAGGGAAATGCAGAACCTGAAGGGACCTGCAGCGACTTTTTCCTTCCTGACTATAAAACAACGTGGATGTCTGTGAAAATACTGCAATCCAGAAAATTTAAGACCCCAACTCCTGATCTTAAAAAGATAAAAACATTTAATTATTACCTTCTTAAGAATTTTAAGTGTATATAATTAAAAAGTTACCTTCAGAAATGAGAAGGTAGGAGTTACTGAGGATGAAAAAGTGTTGCGGTTTTCCCTCTGAAGCTTCCTGTTCTCCCTGGTGGTATCCCACATAATCCACAGCGATTAAGCTGCTAATTTCCTCCTCTTGGGGGATTCACCAAGGCTTTAGTTGTATCTTATTTACTCCAGGTACACAGGAGGAAACGGGTAAAGTTTCTGCAGCGTTAGCATCAAACTGCCTCAGTGCAAATAATGTGATTCTGATTGCAAACCAATCACAAAATCCAGGAGAGATTGATCAGGTATTATTTATTTTTAAGAAACACTTATTGAATGCTGAAACTAATCACTATTTATTAATGTTTTAACAGATTCAGATTTGCATTAAACTTTTTTTAATTTAATTATCATTAATTAAAATGTATTGGGACATCGATGAATCAAAATTCTTATCGTGATAAAGTAAACGATGCGATTAATGACCTGAAGCACTGAATTTTTTCTGTTTTTGATCCGATCAGATCTCAGACTGACTGATTGTTTTGGACTTTTCTCAGTTAAATTGGATGACAGAAAATCCAATAAGGTAAGAATCTGAAGTTTGCTTGCGAAACCGTCTTGTGAATGTATTTGCAGTTGCTATAGATGCGGCCTGGATGAATCAGGGTTGAGTTAAAAGTGGTCAGTGTGAGTGGATGCATGCTTTGGAGAGGGGAACATGAGAGGAGCTGCTGTCATCCTGTTTGCTGCTCCGCCACCAGCTGATTGGTTGACGTGGCTCCCTGTTTATTTGAGATCAGAGCTGGAACTATGCAGGACAGATTTCACTGCCGGGTGCGACACACTCCTACGTGAAGCTGTCAACTTGTGATCAAATCAGCCGAGACGCATGTCAGTAGCGGGTCTGGACCGGGCCTCGGGCTCCAGGAGAGCCGTAGAAAGTCAAAGAACTACAGAAGGTCTGAGGACGGAAGCAGGAAGTTTGAAAATGTGACCGTCTTTTTCATTTTACCATTGTTACACATCAGATCATTGATTATTGCTTCATTGATCATGTTTCAAAACCAACTCTAACCAAGTGGGGTTTTAGTCTGGATTTGAAGAAACTCAGTGTTTTGGCTGTTTTGCAGTTTTCTGGACATTTGTTCCAGATTTGTGGTGCATAGAAGCTGAATGCTGCTTGGTTTTGGTTCTGGATGCAGAGCAGAACCAGAAGAACTGAGAGGCCTGGAAGGCTGATCCAGCAGCAGCAGCAGAGCTTTGAGCCGTTCAGTGGTTTATAAACTAACATCAGCATTTTAAAGTCTGTTCTGTCAGTGGCCTGTAGAACTGTTTCTCCGTCTTCCTGGTTTTGGTCAGAACGCCAGCAGCAGCGTTCTGCATCTGATTGATGTGAGTGAAGACGCTGCTGCTGTAATAAATGCAACTGCAGATAAACGAATGGAGGAGTTTCTCTAGATCTCGCTGAGGCAGTCGTCCTCTAATCCTGGAAATGTTCTTCAGGTGATAGAAGGCCGACTTTGTAACTGTCTTTACCTGTAAACATCGGCCGATCACTGAAAATTAAGAAAATTGCTGCCAAACAGTGCAGCCTTTTTGTGCCCAGAGCTGCAAAAATAACCAGATTATTTTTCAATCCAGTTCAAACAACAAAGAACAAAAATTTAAATAAATTTTCTGCCCTGAAACTGTAAATGATGAGATAGTTGTTAACTGGATGCTTCCATTCTTCTTTCCTCTGCTTCTGTTTTCCTCCCAGTTAAATATAGTTGCAGTCAGTCAGACTAACAGGTGAAGCTGGGATTGTGGCGCAGGTGTCCCCAGATTGAGAGAGCAGAGAGATGGAGGATGTTCTCCGCTCTTCAGCTTTGATTGGGAGACATGTTTTTAGAAAAAACTCCTGCATGAAAGATAAAATGCAACAAAAAGGAGAAAGAGAGAGAGAGAGACACAGAGAGAGAGAGACGGGGGCTTCGGTACAAGCATCATTTTCTCCCACGAGCCTGAGAGGAGATCGCCGCTCAGCCGCCCTCCCTCTTTCATTTTCTTTCTCTCTCTCCTCCTTCTTGTCTGCTCTCCAGCGGAGGGGAGGAGGGGGCATCGCTCCTGCTGTGTCGATGGGTAGGCAGTTACAAACGTTACTATTTCCAGAGAGTCAGTCAGTGTGCACGCTCCGCGCGAAGTGGCAAGCCATCGAGGAAGCAAAAAGAAAAACAAAAGCAAAAACCAGGCGCAAAATTTCTGAGAGGCTTTGGGGAAAAGATGGAGGTGATGCCCAGGACCCGCCGCTGAACCACTCCAAGCATCCGACCAGAACGGACACTTCCAAGTCTGGAGGAACTCTCGCAGGGGGCTGAATCCGGACTTTTCCAGGTTTATTCAAGAGTGGGGTGGGAGGGGGGGATATAAAGGAGCCTGAGAGGCGGAGGAAGAAGGAAGGAAGGAAAGGAGGGAAGGAAAAAAGAGAAATGGCAAGTTTCGGAAAACTCACCGACTACTTCAACCGCCGCAAGTCTCGAGAAGAGCTGCGGGTGGGGAGAAGCTCGCGGCGCAGTGGCAGCTACTGCTGCACAGTGGCAGAGGCCAGGTAACCCACATGTGTGTGTGAGAGTGTGTGTGTGTGCAAAGGTATGCCAAAGGTATGGCACCCTGTAGAAAGCTGTCACTTGTCTGCCTTTAACACCAAGAGCACCTGCTGAGCTGAACACACACCTGTCAGGATCACAGGTGTTTGCGTCGTAGTGCCTCCCTGTTTGTGTGCGTTGGGTTACATAAGTGTGGAGGTTGCAGTGGATGGGTGCTGTCAGGCATGCTGCTGGAGCCCACTATAGGTCCTTCCCACTGACTCAGTTTCAACACGGAGCGTCTTTCTATAGATAGAAAGAGAAAAGCGTGGAGTCAACACGCTGGTGATGTGGAACGACGGAGCGTGGAGGGAGAGGTGGAAGGAGCCAGCAGCTCACATCTGCTTCACACGTTCACACTGTCGGCTTCCTACTCGCACTCAGGATGTGTTGCTGTTTATCATTCAGCGGCAGGGAAGTGGATGTACAGAAAACTGGCTGCAGAAAAATGAGGAAATTACAAATACTCCTTTGTCTTTTAGATCTAAAATTAAGAATGAAATCTTTTTTATTGGATTTATGTTAGAGCATAACACTAAACACAAACTGAGAGTACAAAAATAATTTCAGTAGCATACTCTGACATTTTAGTTAATCTATTGGGCTGAAAAATGATTAATCGTCAACTGATTTATTAATCAGTTAATCGTGAACTGAAGTACACAGAATCAAAAATTGACTAATTACTGAGAGAACAATATAGTCAGGGCATAATCTGAAATTTGTGTTAATTTATTATACTGCTGAAATGATTAATGAGATTAATCATAAGATTATTTAATTAATTAAGCCAAATCTGCACAAAGATACATGCATTTTGCTCTGAAGATGAAAAAAATCCCTTTGTAAATATAGTTTTAGCTTCACACGTTAAAATTCTGTAAACAAAATTCTCCTGTAGGCACATTTTGCTTCGTCATTAATCAGTTGATCCAAAATACTCAGCAGATCAGCCCTGTGTTTGATCAAGTGGTGACTACAGGAACGCTGTTATTCCATTTTAGGCAATAAGATGTTCATTTTTTTTATTTAAAAAATTATTTACATATTTTATTTGCAGCTTTGTGTGAATTTATAATTATGTAGATAAAGACTTCAATAAAAAAATCTGCAAAATTTGCCAGTTGTTTATACGATTAATCGATTAATCAATTAATTGTCAGAACAGATTAATTGATGAGAAAGGATTTGTTAGTTGCAGCCTTTATCTAGTCCACCTTGTAGGTTTACTAGAGGATTTGGGTCCATTTATGGATCGATTTCGTCATGTTTCTGGACCACTTAGTTTAAATTTTCTGCGTTTTTTTTTGTTGTTGTTGTTGTTTGTTTTGTTTTTTGAGGAGTTTATGAAACGACTGAAAAGTTTCTCTGGGCTTTTGGCGGAGAAACAGGCCCAGATCTGAAAGTATACGTGAGGTGCAGAGTCGCAGTTAAATCGGACATTTACGTTTGTGATGGTTGTTATGGAAATGCAACAAGCCCAAGGCGCCATTTTTTTTTTTTTTTTTTGCTTCATTACTTTAATATCTCTTCCCGTTCTTCTCACTGCACACTTTGCAAATATCAATTGAATTCAGTTGAAAAATATTTTATTCATCTAAAATTATAAAGTATCAAAACTTCTGGGTTACATTTCTTAACGGGAGCCATCAGCTGTTGCGCGTTAAAACCGTTCAGTTTTATTTCGTCAATGTTCCCGTATGCAGCATAAAAATGATCTCATCACGACTGTTCGAGTTTCCTCTTCATCACAGTTTCACCCCGATTTCCGACACTTTTAGTTTTGAATAACAGCTCTTAAATTAGCTCCATGAATTATTAAAGAGGGAAATCTGGTGGTGCATATTTAACATTTTCTGTTAATTCTTCTTGGACTTGCTGAATGGTCATATGTACAATTTAGTTGCTCGAACAGAATAAATGTTATGTTTTATGATACAACAAAGAGACAAATTACTGCGGTGGAGTCATAATTATTCTCCAATAATGTCATAGAACAACAGTTATTTTATGTATATTGTAAATAATTTACTGTTGTATAATAATGCTCTGCAAAAAACTTCAAATTATGATGCAGAGAAGATATGCAGGCACAAGAAATTAATGTTTATTGATTATCAATTAGAGTACAATGTGCTGCTGTTAGCTAGTTTTCTGAAAAGATTTATTTTATTAATATGTATGTATTATGATCAGTATAAAAAATATACGATAAAGTATAAATTGTGTTCACATTACATACTTACAAAGTTAGAAAGAACAAATAAACAAATTAATGTAAAACTTAGTGGATCATGTTGTATGTGCAACACAAAACTCTTGGTCAATAAATTGAAAGATTTAAATCAAACATGTCTAACTTTACACATTTAACATCTTATATCTGTAAAATAAACTCCATGAACCCAGACAAACTGGTGAAGATGCTGTCTACGTTTGGCAGGCTTCAGTTTGGTTACCTGCGATTTAATTAATGACTATACAAAGATGTTGGTCATATTTCACATTTGATGAGGTTGGTTTGCATGGAATGAGAAAAATATTTGCAATCTACTTGTTATATAAACTTAGGTTATGTTAGTCTCTCTCATGGAAGGGTATAAGCTAACAGATTAGCATCAATAAATGCCCATATGGTGATGAATCTTTCTGATCTTTCTAGTAGATCAGAGAGTTTGTGCTTCAAATCTCAGAGCTTTAATACAAATGTCGTTATCTCGTCTTTATGATTCTTTATGATTCCAACTCAGAATGTTTTGGGGTTGACAACTGATGCTTTATATTTTCTAAACATTATATTCTTTACTTGCAGACAAAGTGTTAATGTGGGCGGAAAACAACTCAAGATGTCCTGCCTTTATGAATCCCTCACATCCCTACAGTTTGTCTCCCACTCAGCGTCTCTTTCTCTCAAGTCACCCCTTCCTACGCCTCTCCATCTTTTCATGTGTTCTCTCGCAGAAACTTTCCATTTCTATTGAACCATCACTTATCATTTTCTCTCTCTGTCGCCCTTTCTCACGCCGTTTCCTTCCAAGCCGCACTAACACATTGACGCTGCGGGTGGAAACATGCTATTAACGGCCAACAGGCCTTCATTATTCCAACAGTTGTTGATCACAGTCGTTAGATTTTCATGGTTCGGTAACGTTAAGTAAAAACAGAGTTTCACAGGATAAATTACATACCTAAGTCTGATTTGTGGATGACTGAGCGTAATCAAGATGTTTGCGTCTTGTGGACAGTGACAATAACACTCCCAGTCAGAAGGTGGCGCCAAATGCAGCAGATAAGAAAAAGAACAAACACGATTTTTTTGAAGAGCCAAGGAGGATTTCTATAAAATCAGATGTTTCCCCAATATGAATGAATAAAAATTTATTTTTATCTTTTTACGTTCTTTTCTTCTGCTCCTCTATTCTTTTGAGAAAAGGGAAGTAGGTGCGTTACGCTAGCTTGACTATGAAAACCTTAACATGTAGATGTGCTTTTGAACTCTGTGTTTTGGTTCAGCTGCAAAATAAAAAAAAGGCGACCAACTCTGACAGCTCATCAGTTAAGTAGGTGTTTAAATTAGTTGATCAACCAGTGCTGTTAGCTTAGCAAGTAGCAGCGATAGCTAATCTACCACAGCGCTCACTTACTAATAATCGGAAAATAAACATCAAGCCTGAAAACAAAACTTTTAACGGCCTGAATGTTCTGTTCTTTGTGTGGAAAATGTTTTGTTTTGTGTTTTTTTTTTTTTTTTTTTGGTGTTGAATCCTGAAAAATAAAGTGGTGTTATCAGTTGCTATGGCAACGAGTCAACGTGTAGCGCGAGAAACAAAAGTGTCTCTGAGTTGTTCTTTAACGGTTTTTCTGCGTTTTCTTTCCCTTTTACTGTGAAGCAAAGCATTAAATTAATAATAGCTTCAGGTTTAATTGAGGTAAAGCGATTGTTCTGTCGCGGCATGTTAAAAAAATCGTCTTTTTGCCCTCCAGCGTTGTGAGCATGCATGTAAATGAAAATATGAATGGGCTCCATGCACCAGCACTCTATCGCCCCCTAGATGCTATGAATAATTACACATACTTGCTTAAAAAAAACCAATGTGTCTGAGTCCTCCATGTGTTTGGTGAATAGATTCTGTCAGTAGAACAGAGAAAATCAAGAACTACTTCCTTTTTTTCTTCAGAATAAGTGTAGATATGCTCTCCTTCATATCCGGGCTTCATAACGGCACCTTTGCCTCAGGAGACAGAGTCACATGCTGGCAGCAGCTAATGTTGCTTTGTGACAGGTTGTACTGAAAAGTTTTAATATTGTGATCTCATTGCACCGCTAATACACACGTGTGTGTGAATCAGGACAGTGACAGCAGGGAGGGTTTTCACTCAAATAGAGTCTCACTGAACAAAAAGAAATTGGGCTCCTGGCCTCATTAATCAGTGTTTTGTCACACTGTGCCCTCCTGGCATTTTCTAATGTGGAAGATATTCCTGTAACCATCTTACTCAAACACTGGATTTGTGCATTTTAGGTTTTAGCTGCACCTTTGGGAAACTTCAAACTTCTTATTGTTTTGTCTTATACAGGAGTGCACCAATTTATTGGTGCCGATACTTACACATAAAGCCGATTTTATCTAAATATCAGCCACAGTCCTCTCCTGCTCACTGGCCGGTCCGCCAGGTCTTGTCAATCACTGCGACTCAGCAACTTTCTTCCAATTTTTAGCGACATTTCAGACAAGAAAAATTGGCTTCATCCAAAATCGGAATGCGTTGGTCAGGATTCCTAATCGGCCAAAAGACTGCAATCCAATTCAATTTAGCAATAAAGTAGCAGTTTCTCAATGTGTATAAACCAGTTTTTAGTTAATGTATTCATCTTCAGTCAATTTAATAGATGAACTTTCACTTTGCCAAAACGTTTATGTCCATGTTAGCGACAGGTTTTGGCTCCTTCATCATATATAAA